GGAGGAAGTGGGAGGGGAGCTGTTGCATTGTGGTAAACTGTGGTCAATGTCATGAGACAAAGTATATGTGAACCGCTGTATGGAAAGTGAATTTGTTCTGTATACCTTCACCTAAATCACAATAAAAAAAAAAAAAAAAAAAAAGAATTTTAGCAATCTGCTTAAAGTTAAGAAAAAATATTTTAAAGAAATTGTTGTTGTTAGGTGCTGTCAAGTCAGTTCCAACTCATAGCGATCTGATGTACAAAGAATAAAACATTGCCTGGTCCTGCACCACCCTCACAGCTGTTGCTATGTTTCAGCCCATTGTTGCAGCTACTACATCAATCCATCTCATTGAAGGTTTTCCTCTTTTTCACTGGTTCTCTACTTTACTAAGCATAAAGTCCTTCTCCAGGGATTAGTCCTTAATGATAACATGTCCAAAATAAGCAAGATAGTCTCTCCATCTTTGATTCTAAGGAGCATTATGGCTTTACATCTTCCCAAAAAGATTTGTTCATTCTTCTAGCAGTCTATAGTATAGTCGGTATTCTTCGCCAACACCATAATTCAAATGCATCAATAATTCTTCAGTCTTCCTTATTCATTGACCGGCTTTTGTATGCCTATGAGGCTATTAAAAATACCATGGCTTAGGTCAGGCACACTTTAGTGCTAAGATGGTATCTTTGCTTTTAAAGATCTATATAATTTTCTTTGAACTTTTTACTGCAGTTTACAGAGGAAATTAGCTTCCAATCGACAATTGACACACGTTTTGTTTCGCGACATTAGTTACTATCCCCTCAGTGTTACAGCACTGTTCTCACTTCCTCTCTGACGTTCCCATTTCCAATCATCCTCCTTTCCTGCCCCTTCCTGTCTTTTCAGCTTGGCTTTTGGGGAAATGCTGCCCTTTTTGGTCTCATATGGTGGACTGTACTGAGGAATATGTTCCTCCCTGGTGTTACTGTTCACTTTACAGGCCTGTCTGTTGTTTGGCTGAAAGTTAATCCCCAGGGGTGTCTTTATCAGACCTGTAAGTCTGGTCTTTTCTGATTTTGAATTTTGTTCTACATTTCTCTTCTTCTTCTTTTATCCAGATCTTCTATGGTAATACTGATCACAGTGGGTAGTAGCAGTTGCTTTTTAACACTTTGCTGTTGTTGTTATGTGTCATGGAGTCGGACCCAACTCATACAACCCCTCCTTGGGTTTCTGAGGCAGTATCACTATGGAAGTAGATTGCCCAACCTTCCTTCCGAGGAGTGGCTGGTGGGTTTGAACCGCAAGTCTTCTGGTTAGCAGTCAAGTGCCTTAGGCACTATGCTACCACAGCTCCTTTTTAACATTTTAGGTATCTGTTATAGCAGCACCCCACTCTTCCCATACTAAATGGTCTAGCTTTCACATGGATATGAAGCAATTGAAAAGATGATGGCTTGGGTCAAAAATCAAAAAACCAAACTCATCGAGTTGATTCTGATTCACAGCAACCCCCATTGGGTTTCCAAAACTGTAAATCTTTACGGAAGCAGATCACCCCTTCTCCCTTTCCCCGAAGGGTCTGGTGGGTTTGAACCACCGACCCTGTGATTAGCAGTCAAGTGCCTCAGGCCCTGCGCCACCAGAGCTTCTACGGCTTGGGTCAGGTGCACCTTAATCTTCAAAGTGACATCTTTGCTCTTTAACACTTTAAAGAGGTCTTTTGCAGCAGATTTGCCCAATGCAATATGCTATTTGATTTCTTGACTTGCTTCCATAGGCATTGACTGTGGATGCAAGTAAAATTAAATCCTTGACAACTTCAGTATTTTCTCTGTTTTTCATAGTGTTGCTTACTGATCCAGTGGTGAGGATTTTTATTTTCTTTGTGTTGAAGTATAGTTCATACTGAAGGCTACATTTTAAAGAAATAAAGAGGTAAACAACAGAAAAATAACAAATATGTAATAATTCCAAACATGGTTTATTGCCTAGCAAATGGTAAAGAGAGAGTTTAAATAGAAGTTCAAAGGAAGAGGAGATCATTATGAGCTGGTAAGCTTTATGAAAGCAAAGAGAGGAAAACTTGAGTTCTGAAAGATGGGTAACATTTAGGTGCACAAGAATCAGAAAGTCCTTCTATAAGTCAAGGAAAAGTACGAGTAAAAATTCAGGAATGGCCAAGTGTGTGATACCTTTACAGGTTGGTGGAGAAATAAGCAGGGCTGGGGTGAAAGATTCAGAAAAGTAAATAAGTGAAGTTCGTGTTGGGAAGGTGGGATAGGATCAAACTGTCAAGGACGTTTAGTGCCAGGGCAGAAAGCTGATAATTTATTAAAGAAGGCACTGATGATTCCTTAGTAACAGAGTAGTACTTTAAGAATATTAGATTGGCACCAGCCACTCCTTGGAAGGAAGATGGGGCAATCTACTTCCATAGTGATACTCTCAGAAACCCAAGGAGGGGTTGCTGTCAGTCAGGTCTGACTCGACGGCACACAAGAACAACAAGCAATATGTGGGTCAAATTGCTGCATATATAATCTTAGAATAAATACAGACATCTAGATCATAGGAACAGAACAGACAGTCATAAAATAGACCCACATATACACAGTTAATTAATTTCAACAAAGATGTCAAGGTAACTCAATGAAGAAAGGATAATATTTTCAACAAATTATGCTGGAACAATTGGATAGTCATATGCAAAAAAAAACTGACTCTTACCTCATCTCATATACAAAATTTAATAAAAAGGGATCACAGATTTAAGTGTAGGAGCTAAAACTTAAAGCTTCAAATCTTAGTGACCTGGGGTTTGGCAAAGATTTCTTATATATGCCAAAAAAATGCAGGAACTATAAAAATACACTGATAAATTAGATTTCACCAAGTTAAAAATGTTTGCTTTTCAAAAGACATGGTTACAAAAATTAAAAGCCAAACCACAGACCGGAAGAAAATATTTGCAAAACATGCATCTAACAAAGGGCTTGTATTTAGAATACATAGAGAAAAAAAAAATTTTTTTAAACTTGAAATGGTATTTAACCATTTATTTTACTTTTATTGCGGTGAAAACATACACACCAAGACATCCACCAACATGATAACTTCCACACTTATAGCTCAGGTACGCTGATGACATTTTTCATGTTGTGCCACCATTATTGATATCCTTTTCCAAAATATTCCACCACTATCAGCATAAACTCAATGCCCTGCAATCAAAAGCTTCCCCTTTCCCCCTCCCTCCTACCCCTGGTAACCACTAATAATCTTTAAATATCTATCTATCTATATCTCTCTATATATCTATATATCTTTCTGTCTCACTTCCATTGAGTTGGATCCAACTCATAGCGACCCCTCCTTGGGTTTCTGAGGTAGTCTACGGAAGTAGACTGCCCAACCTTCTTTCTGAGTAGCTGATGGGTTTGAACTGCCAGCCTTCTGGTTAGTAGTCAAATGCCTTAGGCACTACGCCACCAGAGCTTCCGTGTGCGTGTGTGTGTGTGTGTGTTATTTTTTTTTAAACCTATCTAGCAATTTTACCTCTACTCTCCTCCTATCTCTGGTAACCAACAAAAAAATTTCCTTCCGTATATAAGCCTTTCCTTGACTTTTTGTAATAATAGTATAATATTATTTGTAATAGTGGGCTCATATGATATTTGTCCTTCTGTGATTGACTTATTTCATTCAGCATACTGTCCTCCAAGTTCATCCATGTTACGCAACGTTTCATGGATTCTACTAATTCCTTAGTGTTGCATAGTATTTCCGTTGTGTGGATGCACCACAGTTTGGTTATCCATTCTTCTGTTGTTGGATACTTAGCTTGTTTCCAT